ACATGGACTCCATCAGGAGGGTGATCGAGTCCCACCCTGCGATGGACGAAGGGTGGAGAATTCAGGGACCAACTGGGTGGTCTTGCGCAACTTGGGTCTTGCATGTCATGCTCACCTTGGAAGAGATGGCGATATTTGATCTTCCGGAAAACCTCACGCCGGATATGCTGTATGATAGCATTTTGGGAGAGGGCTATAGAATCATCATGGGGAAGCTGCCAAGTAAACCCACACCTGTCGTCCAGCTTAGTGCTCACTCGTTGGTGAGGATCCGGCTTTGAATTGTGTATAATTGCTGTCGCTGACAATTGAATCCCAGTGAATCACGCAGGGTGCTCTCTTGATATTAGATAGCCATGATGATGGGTTAGCATCACCATTTCTTTGGAGTAGGGGAGCGAGAATTCTCCGGTTGAGACGTTGAGAATACCTGTGCTCAATTGTGGGTCTAGAGCCAAGTTGAGATTATAATACACATTGATACAACATTTTCGGTGAAACCGAGTATAAGAATTATGATTCTGCTTCCGTACTTCCATCGGGCCCGTAGTGGACCACACTTTGCTTGACGGAGACTTGCACGGGATGGGCGAACGATGTGCCCTATAATACTGGACTTTCAGCAAGTATTTAGGGAGATGAAGTCAAATGGCTCACGGGGTTAAGGATGTTCACGCGTCGCGGGTTTCTCGCGTTGAACACGTCGAGGTCCACGACGCCATCAGAGGTGGAGCGATCTCGGCTGTTCCGAAGTTCGTACCGGGTGATGAGGGTTGCTAGGAGGGAGCTTGAGTACACTGGTGAGAGTGTGAGTCTTGGGTTGAAGGTTTGGCGTTTGGTACGCACGTTTAGATATGACGAAGTATAGGCCTAGGAAGACGAGGTTGTTGTTCATCGTAAGCCACTGGAATCGGGCAGGAAGTCAGCATGAAAAGAGACATGATATGAGTTATTTCTGGGCTTACGCAGATCATCGATGCGATGGTGGCAGCGCTGATAACAATGAGCGTCAGAGTCCTTAGATGCAAGGATGGATCACATACCACGTAACGGCACCACATTCTAATGTGTATAGAATGAGTGAGTCTATTATATGGTCGAAGCTGTCGCCGAACGTTAAAACTCATAGGCCGACAGGAAGTATTCTCTTACCTCAATGAAACTTTGCGGTTGGTGTGGAGTAATTTTAGTAGTGAGCCGGTAATGAGGATATCCACAGCGGATGAGAGTGCGAGTCCGGCGGAGAATACCCACTGAGTGTGTGCCAGTGAATGAGAGAGGGAGAGAAGATGAAAGGGATTTGTCGTACGCCAAATTTATTCCTGAATCCAGAATATGTTCCAATGGATAGCCTGGAGAGTAAGGATGATTAGTCCAGGAGAGGGCTGATAAGTGATGGAAAACATGCATTGCTCCAGCGGTGACTGAGATGGCTGTTTGAGCTGTTTGAGCGGAGAAAATTGGAAGGACACGCACCACAAGCACAGGCTGTAGGAATCGGAATGAGATTGGTGCAGAGGAAAGATCTTCAAAGGACATACTTAGCCGGAGGAAAGCGAGAATGACCTAGGAGATGCAAAGATGTTAGAAGCCCATCTTCATAAACGATTAACGGTTTATAATTACAATCAATGCTGCAAGTATCCAGTTGTTTCTGCTTACTGTAGGAGCTGGCTGAGTCTTGGTATATTACGAACTGGAAAGATGCGCACGCCGATATATTCGCTCAGCGAAGAACCTATGCAAGTGAGAATCCGATTCCGAACCGTATTGGACGGGACATACAGATGGACAAATATGGTAGAGATGGCCTTTTGTCGGTAACATCAGGACAGTCACCGTAAGATCTGAGGTACGACGTACTGTAAGGATGATTGTAACCTTTGACGGCGGAATGAGTTGGTGCTAAGTGTCGCAGGTGAGAGGCCTACCGATATCGCTCTAGGGCAAAGTCAGGAAGGGCGATAATAGAAGGGAACAAGAACATACGGGGGGATTTGGTCTATCCAAGCTGTGTCGCCAAAGTGAACGATCAAATAGTTCCATATCCCGGCCCAAACAGTCCCGCTGTGAGCGACGTCGAGGAGCCTTACATTGCTGTGTGAGCTCACATGTAGGTTTGCGAGTAGAGGGGACCGACCATAGAATAGTAACCTGTACAGTAGCGTTGCAGACACGATGAATTTGATGAAAACAAGGAAGCCCTCACCAGAGCTTTGATGCGGGGTTTGTCCTGGGGGAAGAGTTTGAAGTAAAGGAGAGACTGGACGGACAACATGCCGGTAAGACTGTTGGACTCACTGGGTGAGAGATGAGACATCGGGGAAGAAAGTACTTACACCGCAGAAAACAAACCACCAAGAAGCAGAGAGCCTATGGTATACGAGAGATTGACCATGATGAGCGGAAGCAAGGCAACAGCAGTGCACAACAGCTCGTGTGATACAGCTCATATATAATTCGGACCTAGGGTAATAGGAGTACGGACGTTAATACAAAGCAGGATACGATCGATGATCGACCGTCGTAGAGGCGTAACCACAATTACAAGCCACAGTCCGAAACATCGGTTACAAATACCAATTTTCTGAGCGTCCCTGCCCTTCTCTGACAGTGAAGTGATGAATAACGCCTCTTGCGAAGGAGGGATACCCGTAAGTACAAACTCGGGTGCACGTTTTTGGTCCCATGTTTATGTCCCCTGACCGTTTGTAGGCCGTCTTCCAGGGGGGACTTGGCGCCGCTGAGAAATTGAAGTTTCGAACCTCGATCACAGGCTAGAGCCTGCTGCACGGGATCTAATAGATATCTGATTTTGGATTAAAATGCTGTCATTATTTGCGCGCCCTGTGGAAAAAATGTGGAATGACCAACCTTTGAAACTTTTTGGTGTATAGATGAACCAGGTCCAGCACCTGTTAAGCCCGCTAAAGCACAGATGTAATAGCTGTTAAAAACGTTTTTTAACGGCTATAACAACTGCAAGGGAGAGGGATATCTACGGTACTTGAATAATTATTGAATAAAGCTGTCCTGCGTGCTCGTAATTATCAAGTCCTCTGGCATGTTTTATCAGCAGGTACGCATGACATAACTGAGCATGCGGACATCATTCCCCCCGAGCATGCGCTCACCGAATTACCTCCGTCATCAGCCGCCCATCAAATTTGCTGTGCCGAGCCTTCTGTTCATCACCCCGCACGATGAGCTCAACCATATAGTGTATATACCTCAAATTTCAGCCCAAAATAATAGAAAAATGCGTAATATATAGATTAATTTTGTCCATTATGTTTTTTGACCTAAATAACATCAAGTGGCCTCATGAGATAGGGAAAACTATCAGAAATACGTGGTAAAAAGAGTAATAGGGGGATAGAGGAGACATACCTGGTATTTTACATTTCTAGTGGTTGGGGCGGGTACTCCTGTTAAATAACAGATGATATACATTGTATAATCATGTGTACAAAACTCCATGGCTATCCGAAATTTATTGAAGGAGATATGAGCAGATCATTCTGCAAAACAGGAGGAGCACATCCCCAATTTCGATGTTCCAGTCATCCTATGGTCCTGGGATTATCAGAATCGGATTCCTTGACCCAAAAAACACTAGGAACATCTATCATCCATGGGGGTCATTTTACCCAGATAACATATACAGGCATATGTAGCTATAAGACAAAATGTAAGAACCTCTTGTACTTCGGAGTTTTGACATATTACCCCCATGGATGATAGATGTTCCTAGTGTTTTTTGGGTCAAGGAATCCGATTCTGATAATCCCAGGACCATAGGATGACTGGAACATCGAAATTGGGGATGTGCTCCTCCTGTTTTGCAGAATGATCTGCTCATATCTCCTTCAATAAATTTCGGATAGCCATGGAGTTTTGTACACATGATTATACAATGTATATCATCTGTTATTTAACAGGAGTACCCGCCCCAACCACTAGAAATGTAAAATACCAGGTATGTCTCCTCTATCCCCCTATTACTCTTTTTACCACGTATTTCTGATAGTTTTCCCTATCTCATGAGGCCACTTGATGTTATTTAGGTCAAAAAACATAATGGACAAAATTAATCTATATATTACGCATTTTTCTATTATTTTGGGCTGAAATTTGAGGTATATACACTATATGGTTGAGCTCATCGTGCGGGGTGATGAACAGAAGGCTCGGCACAGCAAATTTGATGGGCGGCTGATGACGGAGGTAATTCGGTGAGCGCATGCTCGGGGGGAATGATGTCCGCATGCTCAGTTATGTCATGCGTACCTGCTGTTAAGAATCGGAGTATTTTGAGCTAATACACGAAGTAATGAATACTCGAGTAAAACCTAAGTTGAGGGCGAGGATGTCCGAAAGCCGAGTTCCAACCACCAAGAGGGATCCGTAAGAGTGTTAACAAGCGCTAGGCGTAGTTAACGGGGCGTCAGCAAGCGCTAGGCGTAACTAACAGGGTTTCCGAAAAGCGCTAGGCGTAGTCGGGAAGCAATTGATTGGCAAGCGCTTGGCGTAACCGATCAGAGATGCTTAGTTCACACAGTTAAGTGGACTTCGAAGATGAGTAAAATTAGCTTAAGATCTCTAATACAAAGGTAAAGACAGTATTTATATGCTACTCAAGTCCGTATTATTCTGTAAAGTTCTGTAGTATTCCAGTATCGGCAAGAAGAATAGAGAAAGTAGGAGAAAATACTAGTAAGCCGAGGTGAAGGCCGAGAAGGCCGAGAGCAGGCATGTGTTGACTCATGTACAGACCTGAAAAGACTCGAGATCCATAACATGGCCCCCCCCAGTCTACATATGCCGGAATGAGGCACAAATCAAGTGAATGAAGAGAATTAGAAGAAGTGAATCTCGTAGATTTGATTGTCCTGTGCTAGTGCGGCTGCTACCTGCTGATTGCGGTTGTAACTCCACTAACCTTCGGGAATGTCATTACTGCCGGGCCGTTCACTGCTAGATAAACCTAGAGCCAGCCTTTAGAGTATAGTGAACCTATTTTTTCCATCCCCGGATGTGTACAACTGATGTTCGGACGGTACGAGGGTAGAGGAAAGCTGCGTGAGAGGAAGCGGATCGACAAGGGCCGGTTCCTGGGAACAGTTTCCAAAACGGGGATGATATTGATGATGAGCCCCTTCATTTCTCCGCTTGCTCGATTCATCGATCATTGGTCCACCCACGCTCGAAATTGTGTCCAGCCTTTGCCCATGTCTCAAGGTCTCTGTATCGTTCACTTCGTTTCCTGATGCATCTCTACTGCTTCGCTTATGCCCGACGACCTTTGTATTAACCTTTGATAGCGGCACAGTCGGTGCTAGGTCTGTCGAACGCGGTAGAAGGCTGAATTCAGTATTTCTAGAAGGGGTGATGCGAGATACTGCCATAGGAATGATAAAAATGTCCCTGGGTACGTCGTTTGAAGTAGCGACGAGCTGAACATTCTGATTTAATTGATCATGTTCAGTTTTCTCAGGGAAATTGCGCTTCAATAATAATGTGTTGAACGCGGCACTCCGTGTATGTTCTGTGAGTATTCGTTTCAGCTCTTGTTTAGTCACTGCATCTTCTGCCATCACCAGCAGGCAGGGGTAAGCCGCAAAGCTAGGGGAATTGATTAATTCCAGAATAAGCTGACAAGGGACTTCCCATCGAGGTGAGTGCCGAATCCCTGGGAGGTACTGAGCCTCGAACATAGTTCTAAGGTAATTAGGGCTGCGCGACACCATAGGAAGTTTTGGAAATTTGAATTCACGCAATGCGACAAGGAATTCGGAGAGTTCCTTGCAGATCAGGATGAGAATAGAGCCGTGAAGGTAATGGAAGCAAGTACCGATGAATTCGCGTCCGGAGATGATGCTGACCCTCTCTTTGGAGATGGCTTTCGTAATGGTAGGTGCCTGGTTTCTGATGGCTCGACGCGGATCAAGCACCGCCCTTGCAACTTGAAGCTGATCGTCTCGGGTGGCGCACAGTCGTCGTTCCATCCTCTGACCTTTCCTACGAATGTTATAAAAACATTTTCGGGCAATACGAACACGTCTGGTCATATTCCAGTTTACTACCGCTGTTAGGGTGTTGTAGAGGTTTGAAATAGGAAGAACAAAGAGCCGGGAGACGTAGATATAAGGTAAGTCATCTCCTTGCTGCCAATGAGTTTCTCGGCTGACGTGTTTTTCGAGCAATAGGATACCTTGCCTTATCAGGGAGTGAACACGGGTCGAAATTCTAGTACCGTGTCGTAGATGTCGATGCTCTCCTTGTACTGGATAACACTTCAAATATCGACAAAATGTTTGAGCCCTTGAATGATGTGTCCCTGCTTCAAAATTTATACTAGATTCAAGATAATTTCGGTCACAGGATATGCTAGAATGTTGTTTGGGAGATGCGTGGATGGAGGACGGCTCCATCGTGCGATGATAGCAAAGGGAATCGGCTTGCGTAGTTGCCGGTGAGTTATTTCCAAAATGGGAATGATATTGATGATGTTGATCGCCACGGTCTTCCTTTTGCCATGTTATCGATACCACCATTGGTTCATTCGCCCTCGAGACTGTGCCCGGCTTTGCGTCCTTCCCCCGTACGTCAGAGTATCCTGCCTCTTTGTCCAGGACAATGTTGACTTCGACTATGCTGTGTATGTTGATACCCGGATTCCGAATTTGATCATCAAGTTTCCTCATGGGCCTTGTGCGCTGATTTCTCTTCTGATAGCGTCGTTTTCTATTGATCAGGACTTCTATAGCTATGCTTAAGGCTTCAGGATCGCTTCGTGATGCATGAATGATACGTCGTTTATGTCGAGCGACACTCGTATGAACTTCCGTTGGTGCCACAGTCGGTGCTCCGTCCATAGAACACGTTAGAAGGCTAGTTTGGGCATTTATGAAAAGGATGATGTGAGAGACTGCAATACGCATGATAAAAATGTGGCAGGGTACGCTGTCTGAACTAGTGATGAGCTGAATGCTCTGATTTAATTGATTGCGCTCAGTCTTCTCCAACAGCTTGCGCTTCAAAGATACCGTATTGAACTTGCCACTCTGTGAAAATTTTGTGAGTAGCCATTTCGTATCTCGTTCCGTTGCCATAGCTTCCAGCGTAATAGGAATCGTGGGAGCGTTTGTCGAGGATGTAAGGGATACATCAAGAAATTGGTTATCATGACCAACAGTTGGCTGCAGTTTCGCAGGTATCCCGAGCCAGATTTTGGCTCTGACTGTTCCTGGTACTCGTCGATGTTTTGAATGACGACCAGATTTTTGGGTGTGGTACGATTGGAGCCTTGCGATCTTGGTTGATTGGCTCACAACTTCTTCTGCTAAGGCATGAACCTCAAATACCCGAAGCTCCCAGTCAATAGGCGGTGGTACTATGGAAAATTCAACTTTAACTCCGTGTCTGACAAGACATTGACTTTGTAGCCGACATTTGGTTCCAGTCTGCTTCATAAGGTTCGTCTTCTGCTTGACGCGAACTCTAGGCCACATAGAGAGCATCTGAAGTGCTGTTTGGGAGTTACACATGATATACGAGCCTGAATTGAGGACCATCTGCAAGGTATCAAGATCAGGAGTATTCACTCCTACTGGGACCCGTGTTGCTTCGCTTCCCATGATGGTAAATCCCGACAACCGCAGTACGCATTCTCTCATTCCCATCAGTATACGCTGACAATCACTATTAGTGGACATGACACAGCCGGTGGCATGGATTATTCGCTGTAGCTGTCTCTGCAGCCGGTCGATGTGATATCTGATTTTACGTGGTAATCGAGAATTCTTGTTCTTCTCTGAAAAGGGTGCACACGGCGTATTTGAAGCGATTCGGAAAGTACGAATTCCGTTATTGTTTGAATATGGAATGATTGGATTGCCGATGTTATGATTCAGGGTTGGAGTAATAATGAATTTGTTCCCACAATTATCCCTCGTGTTTGGATTACTGTTGTAAGCAGGTATGTCCGTCGCTTTGAGGGCGGTGTCAAAATCAATGCTGGTATACTCCGAGAGATCAGAGCATGTGGGAATTTTTGAATAGCATGAATCACGACGAAACTGATGTTTGTTTCCATCGGTGATGGTGCAACCTTGACCCGAGTCGAGATCGCTAGGAGAACGTCCTCGGTAAATGCTTGTGTGCGAAGAAGGATTTCTGCAATCTAAGTCCTTTGGAATCTGAGCTTGGTGGGATGCTGCAGGCAAACTCTCATGTTGATATGGACCGAAATCGTGAGGTTCACTGACTTTGGAATTCACACAAAGACAAGACTGACCGCATATTTTAGCGACCTGTGAGCTGCTAGGATGCTGTTCCTCATCTCTTGAAGCATCATAGTGTACTCCCCCCCAACTCAAGTCGGAGGCCGAGGCCTGAACAGAGGTCTTTGACTTGAAAGGATTGGAATGTGATACAGGAGGAACAGCAGGAAGGTAATACTCCCTTTTCTCAAGACGCGCTCTGTCAGCATTGCGCTGAGCTGCCAGCATTTTTTCATCTAGGTATACGCGTGTCTGAAGTTTATTCCAGTCATAGACATAATCAAGCATATGAAGAAAATGCTTGACCCGAATGCGATACTGGAAGGCATACAACTCAAAATCGTTGGCCGTCAAACCTTTCGCAGTGTCAATGGCCCATCCAGGTGGTCTGAGATCCGAATAACCAAAGCTATTGAGTGACGAGGAAGCTAATGCATGGCGAGTTGTTAATAGGGTGTGAAGATCTCGATAGATTTTCTCATCCAATTTGTACACAACATCTTTCGTGAATGTAGTGCAGGCAAAAACGGATGTAAGAAGGAAATCTAGCATGTGAGTTTCTTCCGAGAAGGTCTCAGTGTACTGGTTATGCTTCAATACACGATCACTGGTGGTTCGTAGGTTATTCCTGAGTCTCTTGTTCTTGCTGAGCTTAAGTACCTGTATAATCCGATCCTTACGCTCCTGCAAACATGAATGTTCTGCGAAGGCAAAGAGGGGAACACAGGATGGCCACAAGCGAGTAACCTTCCTGCTATCAGTGTTGGAAATGTCAGCTGGGTCGACTGGAAACACAAGCGGTGCTGGAGGATCTGGAAAGCCGAGTGAATCACCAGGCAAATGCTGAGTTGGGGGAGAAGATTGCGAAGCCGGTAAATGGATTGTTGAAATGGGTCCCGGCATAGTAATTGAATTCAGTGTGAGTAGGCGCGATAAGGTGCGAAAGCGAGTAGGAAATAATGAATAAAACAATTCCCTCTACAAGGTGGTCCCAATGTGTCCACCAATGTTAAGAATCGGAGTATTTTGAGCTAATACACAAAGTAATGAATACTCGAGTAAAACCTAAGTTGAGGGCGAGGATGTCCGAAAGCCGAGTTCCAACCACCAAGAGGGATCCGTAAGAGTGTTAACAAGCGCTAGGCATAGTTAACGGGGCGTCAGCAAGTGCTAGGCGTAACTAACAGGGTTTCCGAAAAGCGCTAGGCGTAGTCGGGAAGCAATTGATTGGCAAGCGCTTGGCGTAACCGATCAGAGATGCTTAGTTCACACAGTTAAGTGGACTTCGAAGATGAGTAAAATTAGCTTAAGATCTCTAATACAAAGGTAAAGACAGTATTTATATGCTACTCAAGTCCGTATTATTCTGTAAAGTTCTGTAGTATTCCAGTATCGGCAAGAAGAATAGAGAAAGTAGGAGAAAATACTAGTAAGCCGAGGTGAAGGCCGAGAAGGCCGAGAGCAGGCATGTGTTGACTCGTGTACAGACCTGAAAAGACTCGAGATCCATAACACCTGCTGATAAAACATGCCAGAGGACTTGATAATTACGAGCACGCAGGACAGCTTTATTCAATAATTATTCAAGTACTGTAGATATCCCTCTCCCTTGCAGTTGTTATAGCCGTTAAAAAACGTTTTTAACAGCTATTACATCTGTGCTTTAGCGGGCTTAACAGGTGAGATCCAGATACCGGACCTGCGGACTGTGAATCGGAGTTCAAAAAACGCGACTTGTCACAGTGTGACGGTACGCGCCTCTCCCGATGACGACCAGGACAGTGAGCCCGACAGATTACAATCCTCGACCCACGAAGCGTCAGCGTCGCGACAGCATATCACAGGGCGCCACTGCTGTCGACGGCAATGACCTTGCTCCCTTGAAGGCGATCGCCATGGCTCCTAAGCCGTCATGTCTCACACCATTACCCCCCTCTCTCCTACTCATTTCGCTTCCAGGCATTCTGATACATCCACCGACGCATCGGTATCATGCCCAATCTCTATGCCTTTCTCTTCTTGCTCTTCGAAGGTGTTTGAACCTACCGAATTTGACTCCAGAGGTGGAATGCAGAGCATGGACTGCTATGGTGGAGGTTGGTATGCTTGTAATAGCCGGGGGCTTCAGTCAAAATGATGACCATTTGTGGGCAAAAGCCATCGAAATTGAGGTATGTGATATGTTTCTTGGTGTCGAACTAGGCTGACGGTTTGGGTATTAGGTGGAGAAGGCTGCGAATAAAGCAGTGAGTACTATGTTGTATATCTATTTCGTGTACTGAATTGTATGCTTGTAGCTAAATATCGCACAAAAAGTGAGTTTCCTTCTCGGATAATGTCATTATTTGACTGAACGCATGACGCCAGCACCCGACCCTTCGACTGTATCGTCCCCATGTAACTTGCTTAACAGCACGACTGCTGCACTGGCAACGCAAGTCCAAATTCGCCCTCACTCTCCTTCGATGTCTGCTCAATTCGTTCTTACCCTCTGATCCACCCCATGCGATTTACGCCGCTCATCTTACCCTCATCTCACATCTTACAACATCGAACTCGTCTTCCTCGATATCTAGTCCGAAAGAGACGAAGGCACCCCTATCTGCTATACAAGCCCTGGCAGACCTCGCCGACAACAACAGGCACTCTAGCGTCAAACTATATGCTCTCGTCCTGAAGCTGAGGACGCTGGTGTCGTCAAATCTGTGGGAGAGCGTCGACGATGCCCTACGCTCGGCAGAGGAGGCTCTGGGAATAGATTGTCTTTCGGTGCAGGGCTCAGCTGTCGCAGAAAAGCAGGTCCTCAACTCGATATCCAACACACCTCGGTCGCAGGAAGGAACTATAGCCGGTTCACCGAAACAACCTTCTACTCCTACTCCATCGATGCCAAAGTTCGCTGACAAACTGGCTGAAATCATGGCTATCCATACCTTGATTATCGGCGTCGTCTTCCACACTTTCGTCGGTAACTTTGCAAGAGCAAGTACGCGTCTAACCCTCCTTCATATGCTCATGGACTCCGGGGTCTTGATAACGTCAGGCAGCGGCGTCGTCGAGATAACCTTTTCAAATCCACCGTCACCTCCTCTTCTCATTCAAACGACTCATCCGCGTGTCCTTTTCATTCTTGCCTATCTCGTCAGCGCCATCTCGAGGAAAGATCCCGTCGGCCGAAAACCCAAGCGAAAGATCTTTGCCGTCGAAGGTCTGGCGGTATGGGAGAAAGAGATGCGCAAGGAGCTTGTTGTTCCCCCCTGGGCTAGCGTTGATGATGTAGAGCAGATGAACCTGACGATGGCCCGGCTGAAGTGTGACTTGCTTTGCGAGCTTATCTCGGTTCATATCATGCGGTCTGAAATCCCGTTCGCTGAGAAGCATCTCGCTGCTTTGACGGCGCACGCTCGTACGAAGGGGCTGTTTGACGCTCTCGCCGCCCGCATCATGTTGCACCATGCACATCTTGCCCATACAAAGGGTGATATGCAGTTAGCTGGCGATTATTATCGAGCAGCGGCTTACCTTGCGGAGGATGGCCCCGCTAGAGACCATTACGTGTGGACGTCTGCCCGTGCCGGTGAAATCGCTTTGAGAATCGGTGTATGGGCTCGAGGTGAACAGGACGAAGATAGCTGGGAGGCTATCACGGAGGATGGATTGTCCGTCATCGACGACTGCCAAACTCAGGGTGGCACTCTGAGGAGTATAGGTACTCTTATCGAGGCGTGTCTGTCCTCGGAAATCCTCAAGGCCAAGTATGTTCTTATTCTAATACCTTTATCTTCGTGTACTGACCATTCTATGCTCTCAGGAATTTGCTCAGGTCGGCGATGGGTGGTACGACAGACTCGAAGGACAATCATTTACGTGCATTAACCTTGGCACTGCTCACGCCACATTTCATGCATACCGCTATGGAACACGCTATGACCATGCTAGTGACGTGCGAGCAGTTGGCGTCGGGAATGGGCGCAGGTTCTGTGAAGGGCGCCAAAAACACAACAGGAGCCGATACTGTCGGAAATGGTCCGCTAAGGTTATGGATTGCAGAGCGAAATTTGGGTTGGTCTTTCCTTCTGTTTCTTTCTTGGACTGTGTGACTAATCTGGACTACAGAGATCCACCGAAGAAGGGGTGATATGGCTCGAGCCGAAAAACAAGAAGCCGCTATCGAGGCGCTCAGGAATGTTGTTCATTACTAGCTTACTCATGCATTATAGACTTTCGATCATGCATTATTTATTACCGACACACTCATATGTATCATGTACTGTATTATCATCTTGCTCGCTTGCTATTGATGCTGTTTTCTCTAGGTGTCATACATGACATCGCAATCTTGAAAGACCCTTCCTTACTTGGGAACATGAGCTACCACTATCAGCGATGAAGTAGAGTTAGTGACGCGTGACGGCTCAAGAAGACAGAATGCGACGTCAAATGTGAATATAAGCAAGTGAGCCTCCGTTTAGGATAATGGTTTTGACATTTAAGTTTTCGCGTTCACAGTCGCAACAAGGAAACGTCGACCAAGCTAAACGCCACCAAGGTCCTTAACGACGAGGAATTTCAAATCTCAGGCCCCTCGATGCCTGAAGACTTCTCGCATTCAAGTTGCTGCGATGTAGAAAAGTGACAAAGCCCATTCTAGCTCTCTCTCTCAAGTAGGTTCTGGCCCCAAGTTCATAAAACCCTTCGGAAGTCAGCAGGTCCCGCAAAATCCTCATGATCACGATCATGAAATTCTAGGTGGCGTCTTCCCTCTTGTCAAGAAAGTCATTCAGCGAGTTGCAGTTTCACATACTTATGGCACGCCGCCCTAGTACTACCCTGAAAATGCCGTTGGATTTCATTCAGTGGCTGCGGATACCCCATGGGTCCTTTGGGGTATTCTTTGCCGATTCCGAACGCCTCAATCAGTCGGCTGCTCTGGAAATCGATGAGCGTCTTCGTATCATCCACCCATCCAGCCAATGTTGAATATCCGGGTTTATGGTAACTGCAGACTGTAAGGCACCCTCGTTGTCCCACACAGCACGCATTACCCGTTCACGGCGAAGCATGGCTCGTCTTCGTGGGCTCCAAAACACCGAAGAATTGCTTACAATGCTATGATGGCCAAATCACCGTGCATCCAGGGCTCCAAGGTACGCTGATTCCCATCCGTCTAGGAAGAAGACCTACTGATGTTTAACTTTAGATCCCGTATTGTCCCTCGAGGACGAATCAGATATCGCCTAGAAGGTACGTCATGGTCCGACTCGGTGTTCTCGCATCGCGATTTAAAGGTGCATCAGTGATGGGCCGTGTCACGAGCCGTCTTGCTAATCAATGGCTTGCACTTCAATTGGACTCTAGAAGATACTATCAACATACATGGGGTCTGACGAGAATACACCTACTCATGGCTCTGCGAATTCGAATCAAATGTAAATGGGATCGAAGACGGGAACATTTATACCCGCACAGGAACATTCGGGGTGACCGGTGAGGCTGCACATAAAGATGACCCTGCAATCACGCAGGCAGTTCTTCTCAACCAACATCTACACTTCTCATGTTAACGCTGTGTGTCCGCGACCTGCTGTACGTCCATTGTGCAGAAACGATGTCGAGGTAGCTGATTTCATTTTCTTTTCATATTAGCATTTCCAAAACGTCTTCACCGACTCCGGCGGCTTCGCCGCAACCTATTATACCCCAGGAATTGATCGATATCATTATCGATAATTTGTATAACCATCCCCGCTCGCTGAGAGCCTGTGCTCTTGTTTCATCATCCTGGTCAGGGCGCAGCCAGCAAAACCTCTTCTCTCGAATCACCCTCGCTGGCCGACCATGGCCTGACCAACCAAAAGGCCGAACAGCGGCGGAGCTATTTCTACGCCTGATAGAATCGGCTC